TGTTTTTATATCTGTGGTCCTAAAAATGTACTGCTTTAAGACATTTTAGCAGTAAAAGGAACCTGAAACCAGGAAGACATGGTAAGGGTGGTGGTGGTGGTGTCCCAGGCTTTGTGAAATGGGACTTGACACTCCCCAAATCTATGAGAAGAAGGTCATAAATTTTTAACCCAAGTGAAAAACAAAACAAAACAAAACAAAAAAAACACCGAGGGAAGAATTTCACTAAGAACACACAAACACTAAGGAAGAATTTAAAAACACATAACTAGTTTAGTAATAATGAACTATTTTAAAACTAGAGGGCTGATTTTAATTCTGTTTGCTGGTTTAGGGAGGTGGTGTTAGTAATGAGTATGGATCCACCTCCTGGGCTTCGGGCAGCATCAGCCAGCATGGTGAGGGGTGCGGGCTGAGGCTCTGGGAGAGCCCTGCCTGCTGGGCTGCAAAGGGAGAGGTAGCCGGGCTCCCCACCCTCCTGCTTTCTCTATTGCCAACTCCTGTCCTCTTTCTGGTTCTGAGTGTGTCTCACCTTCTCTCGGGCTATTCTCTGGGTCTTCATTTATGTGTTTTTCCTCTCTCTCTGCTTCTATTTCTACCTCTCTCTTGTCTTTCTTTCCACCTCTCTCAATCCCTGGTTTTGATCAAAACAATCCTTAACTGGTCAAAATAGAGCTGAATGATATACTTTAATATGTTTTTATGTATGGTTTATAGATTGAACAGTATTTTCTGTTTTCTGCCTCATACAAAGGCAGGCAGGTGGGTATAACTTTTTCCATTAATCCAGAAAACAAATATATGGTGGTTTTCATATGTATGACCCTTGATTGATTCCTACCAAACCTTCTCCCCCAAACCAAGAAATTGGGGGCCAGCAATAGGATAAAAGACCCAGCCTAGAGCTCCTAGCCTAAAGCAAGAGAGGACCTATACTTGTTGCCCGATATGTGGGTGAGAAGCATGATGGCAGGGAGCATGCAAGGGTGTGGGGCGCAAACTGGGTGTATGAAATGGAGATCCCAGTTAGCAACTGCCCGCTCACATGGCACCAGGCCTTCCCGTGTCAGCCTCTGCCACTGTCCAGCCTTTGCCTTGACCCTCCCTGAGCAAACTGCTGCCCCAGGACCTGAGCTCACCTGGTGTTGAACCCTCCACCCCTTTGCTGTGCACTCCCTCTGTCTGGCATGTCTTGGCCACCTGCCCATCCACTGAGGTCTTCCCTGATCCACAGAACCAGCTAGAACAAATTCCTCCTGCTGCCCCACTGTGGTCAGAGGTGGGGTCTCAGTCATCCTGGTTCTCTAGTGCCCAACACAGTGCCTAGCACAGAATAGGTATTCAATTAATTTTGGAAAAGGGAGGTGGGATTCCACATAGAACAGTGTCTCCCACTTTAGAAGAAGGAAATCAAAGTGGGCAAACTTGGCCTAGCTCTGAGGTTCCCTCCCAGATCTGCTCTCCTGCCTGCAGGCCTGCCCCTGCACACCTGCACCCCACCCAGTCTCCAAGGCTCCCTCCCCATGAGGCCTTCCGACTCCTACGCCTGTCCTTTACCTGAGCTTTCAGCCACCTGCTCTGTTGTTACCTTACGTGGGCCTCTCTTATGGCTGTTTCCACACCCCCATGTTAGGCACACACAAGACTGTCACCCCACACAGTGAGCCAGCCCCCCGAGGGTGACACTTCCACAATGACCAGATGAAATGAGCAAGGGAAGGCATCTCTGCCAATCCTTGGGAGAAGAAAAAGCTAGAACCCACCGTCCTGCTGGTCGACAGGAAGCGGGGAGAGGGTCGGGCCCAGCCTCCCGGCGGGGAGAGGAAGTACTGAACGCAGGCGGTCACTCACCCCCAGCAACACGGGGTCAGGGATCAAAATGTTACACTACCTTGTTGGCCAGTGGGTCTCCTGGTCCATCTTCGCCTTTCCCAACACTTAGCTCTGACTGCTCGCAATTAGTATCTGAGAGGCAATCTAAAAGAGTCAAGCTGCATTACGGAGAACCCCAGAAAAACTGCAGGGCACAGCTCCTCTCGTGGAGAGTGGCTCAAATGGCAAAGCTTGGTCCTTCACCTACTCAGCTGGGCCTTGCCAAGGAAATAAGATCAAGAAAGTGGCGTTCGACTTTAGTATTTATTTAAAATTGGAAAAACGGTTTGTTTGTTTGTTTGTTTGTTTTTCTGAGCAGGCACAGACCACAAGCACGTCACAATCAATTGGCTATACATGAATAGTTTTGTCATTTTCGTACTAACAGCAGGAATGAAATAGCACCGAGAGAGGTGTGCGCTACACATTACATAGACAATCTGTGGTATGCAACAAAACCCAGGCCACAAAATCGGAATTAGACACTCCTGTCTGCCTCAGAGAGGCAAAAGCATAGTGGGCCAAACGGGCACGCCAGCGGGGACCACAGAGCTGCCGGAGCCCATGCCCAGCTTCAGGGATTATTTTTGCAGGCAAGCAAAGCAGATAGTGGCAAAGCTTCAGTCCTCGCTCTCTTGCCAGGGGAGTTGAGGAAACCATAGGGAAATGTACAAAACTGGGAGGAACAGGCATTGGGAGCTTGGTCACCTTCAGAAAGGCAAAGACAAAACACTGCTCGTGGAACCGAAAACAGTTTCCATCCGTACGTCTGGGGTACAGAACAAGACGGCTGAGTTTTATTTGTAAGCAGTAGAAATCAAAGGAAGTTTCTTGCCAGTGAAAGGATATATTCAAGAGTCAAAGTGAACTACAAACAGGTGTGAAAAAGCTGGGGACACTGAAGGGTGGAAAAAGACATTATACAGGTCATCTCAAGTCTCGACTCAGGTGCAGCAAGGTAGGGAACTTAGTCCCTGGGGCTGCCAGGTGGGTGGCGAACTCTACAAGTTGGGCAACACAACCTTGAACCAGACACAGGGATCAAGTCACAGGTGTCCTGGTTGTGCTGCTGTACAGACAGATTTACTTACACGACTCACCATGTCTAGGACAGTGTCTGGCGCACAGGCATTCAGGAAGTGAATACTGAATGAATGGTTTCCTGTGCATTGTAAAGTTTGATTTACTTGATCTGCAAAAAATATACGACTATGCTACGGAGAAATCCAAATTGTGGCTAACAACATGTCTGACTAATCTTGAGAGAATGAGAATATACTGGCAAATTATCTGCATAAAGTTAAGATCATATTGATAGAAATCTCTGGTTCAGATGAAGATTCGCTAGCAAATAGCTGGGATCAGTACTGCGACCGACTCTGGTCATTTCCAGGTAGGCGTCAAAATCTGTGATTCAGAAACACGAAACTCCTCCCATCGTCTACCTTTTTCACTACCTCTCCTTCCTCACAGTTCCATACCCTGAGGTAGAAAGGGAGACGGCAGAGGGCCTGGCCGAGGGCTTCGGTGTTCGTAGTCCTGTTCTCTTAGGAAGTGTGGCCCGCATGGCACATGTTCAAGAATCCACAAAGCACTTCTCCATGAGCTCCAAGGTGACCAACAAAATGGTGTCAAACCCAGACTTGGTGGCTTAAATGGTCAGAATAGGAGACAGCACTTGGAGGCCCTGCTTCCTCTAGACCGGAAGGACTAAGGAACATCTGAGGTATGGAACTGTGAGAACTTCACTCCTCACTACTTTCCTTACCAAGGAAGAGTAGGCTGAGCAGAGGCTTGGCGTCATACAACAGCCCAGCGATTTCCAAATGCTGGCGACAGCGAGCACTTTAAGGACACGAGAAATAAATCATACTGAGCAATACACACGCCACAGGTTTGCAAATGTGATTTTTCTGGCAGGTATTTTGGGGTGTTTTCACAACAGCTCTCTGACTAACGCCTACGACACGACTCTAGCACAGCTAAGGTGGCCGTGGCCGCTCCTGGAGGCTTTGGCCACACAGACACACAACACACAGTTCACTGCGAGCTGCTCTTATCCATTAATGAGGTCAAAAATGCTTGCTAATCACCTAGCAGGGAACTCCCCTCGCCTTAGCTAAGTCACAGACATTTCCCCTAACCCGAGGCTCAGCGCCCTCCGTCCTCTGAGGAGCAGCGCGAGAACAGTCGGGAAGGGAGAGTAAACATTGCCGCGCTACGCACTACATCCACTCCCTGCCTGTGTTTCCCAGAAGCAGGAGAGTCACGTTCTAAACACTATCCCTACACCTTGAACTTTCTTCCTCAGTCACCTGTAACCAGCCGCCCTGCAAAATCGGCAGCACCGGGCAGGCAGCCTGCGGAGGGGAAACAGGAAACGACCCCTGCCTTGGTGTCACCTTCCACAGTGTCGAGACACCTCACCTTCACCCTGCCCTAGTTTCAGTCATCAGCGGGGGTGGACAATGTAACGCCTACTGATAAGAAACTAAATGGGGCCACACGTTTCTAATAGAAGATTCTATGAGAAAATGACTTAAATTTAGCAGACACAACTAAATGTATTGACATTAAGGCCAAGGTTTTCTTGTGTTTTTTGTATTTCTTAAAAAACATTTTCACAAATGTTGTCCATTGCTGAAGTCCAGGTTAAGCTTCTATAGCAGATGACAACTCTCAGAATTTGGAAAAGAACACATTTACCTGAAGTTCCAAATTGATCACTGACTGACCTTGGGGAGGAATAGGAGGAGGACAACTCCCACAGACATTTCTAAGCACAACCGGGAGATTCCCTCCGCAGCAGCTGGGAATTGCCTCTGTGCGCCAAGCCCTGCCTGCCTTCCTCACCGGCTCATGGTCTCACAGCCAGTGAGCCACACGGCCTGGGGCTCCAGGGCCCCGGGCATGGCCACTGGGCCACGCAGAGGAGAGGCACGCCATAGGTCTTGGAAACAAACAGGATTCCTCCACTAAAAGAAACCAAACCAAAGGGCACCTGGAACACTCAGGACCAAGACAGATGAGAAGCCTCTAATCAATTTTGTGGCCTTTTTTTTGTTGGTTGGTTTAAAAAAAAGAGAGAGAGAGAGAGAAGAATAAAAGGAAAGTGCAGTGAAATTTACTCTTTCGCCTCAGCCAGTTTATTGTTCATCTCTTTACTTTGCTCCTTGTCGTCGGGTTGGGCTTGGGCGGCGCTGGGGCCCTCCGCGCTCTTTTTCTTGAAGGCCCGGCCCGACACCACCTGCTTGTCTTTGGCCTTCCTCGGGGCCTTGTGGCTCGCTGAGGTCTTTTTTGGTTTGGAACTCTGAACACTAGTTTTTTCCACCTGCACGGAGAGACAGACAGACGGAAAATACGGAAATACAAAAGGAGAGGGATTGGGAGAGAAAATTTAGAGAGAAGACACAATTAATGAAAGGATAATAGGAATGCCGACATTTGACTCTGAGGGAGCAGAGTTTAAAGTGTTCTCAGTGAAGTCAGGCCACTTGGCTTCTAGAACCCTCTGTGCCCCCTGGTCAGTCATCTGGCAGTACTCTCACTGGTCACATGGGGCTTTGGACATCTCACCCCGGACACCCAAACAGTGGACTGTGCTACTATTTGCACTATCTATCTGCTTCCCCTCCCTGTCCAAGTCAGGTAGGCATATGATTTGCTCTAGTCAGTGAAATGTGAGCAGAAATGACTGGGTCACCTCCAGGCCCACTCAGTCAGCCTGTGCTTCCCAGTGCTTTCTCCCACCACAGAGAGGCCGTGCCTTCACCCCGAGTCTCTGGCTGCAGAAGTGACAAGGAGAACTGCACCAACCCATGGTGAATGTGTATTATAAGAAACTAGAGGCCCGGTGCATGAATTCATACACAGGGGTGGGGGCTTCCTCAGCCTGGTGGCCATTAGGGCTGATTGGGGTGGCCGGCCAGGGGGAGGGACCGTGGGAGGCTGGCTGGCTGCGAGAGGTTGGCTTTGGGAGCGCACTGACCACCAGGGGGCAGCTCCTGCATTGAGTGTCTGCCCCCTGGTGGTCAGTGCACACCATAGTGACTGGTCGACCAGTAGTTTGGTCATTCGGTCACTTAGGCTTTCATATACTAGTATATAGATAGACCTCAGTTGATGTAAAACACAGAGATTGTGGGATGATTTGTTAGCATAAGCCCACCTTTCCTCTGTTTCTGTCTCTGAGATGGTGCACACAGATGGAAAAATGCCCTCACTGAGATGCTTCAGGCCAGGCACCTTGTCTCAATGAGGCCTTCACAATTGCCCAGCACCCACTCCTCCTCTCAGGCTGGCTCCTCTGCCCGTACTTTCCCGAGCAGCTGTTCAAGCCCATGCCCTCTCCCCAAGCTCCCTCCTCTAGCTCTGCCCCTTTGTTCCTAGGAGATGGCCTTGCCTGCTCTTTCTCAAGAACTCTGGGGTCACTGAGTGTGATCCCTCAGTATGCCACTGCCCATCCATCCCTAGATTTATTTTCCCCAATCTTTCCTCCTTCTTCCCTTTGAATCTTCTTTTGTCCAAAGCCAACCCCATATCCTGGGTCCTACCTCATCTGTGAAAGGTGGACAGAGATGCCATTGGGCTCCTGGGCTGGGCCACTGACTCACTGAGGTCCAGAGGTTTCCTGTCACCCAAGACCTGTTCCTAAGGTAACCAATCGGCCTGGTTTGCCGGGGACAGAGCTTTCATGAAACATGAAACTCTCAGGGCTACAACTAGAGGAGTCCAGGCAAACAGGGTCGGTTAGTTATCTTACCTGCATTGGCCAAATAGGAAACCACTGAGTGCAAGACTTTAGGGCAAAAGCAGAGAAAAGGCTGTCTAGGGTCTCCGACTTTTTCTGCTATTACAGATAGGAGAGCTGATATTTGCACGATTCCATGTGACCTGACCTCAGAGAACAAGCTCTGGCATATATGAGTCCTATGTCAGCAGCGGAATCTCCAACATGCTTCTCCCTCTCATGAATGCATTCTGGGATACAAACAAGGCAAAATGGTGTCATTAGAGGAAAATCCCTGAATCCACGTAAGTTACTTAGAAATGCAATTCATTCACAAACTGCTCATTATAATAACAAATTACTCAAAACACATCTTGCAGCTGACATGACAGGTGTGTTGTGATGACTAAGGACTGCTGGTGGATGGCATTTATGAGGGAAAGGGTAAGAAAAGGCAGGTGATTTTCAGGGACCGGGAAGTGAGGAAGTGTCTGGAGCTGAGGATGAGGCAGGGGTCGGGTGGGAAGGAAGCCAGGCAAGGATGCCTCCAACACCGGGCCAGCACTGCAGGAGCAAAAGCACAGTTATTTTATGACAAGGGGATTTAGGGCTCAGAGGAGGTTTTCTGTCACTTTTTTCCCCCTAGGTTTCTCAAAACCAGAAGCTAGTTTTCTGCACAACTGCCAGTCTTTACACTGTTTTTATTTTAGATAATGTTCCTTTTACACATTCCTTTTGAATTTATCAAAGGTTCTTGCTAATAAGCCCCCTCTATCGCAGTGAGCTGCATAAGGGAGGATTTAAAAATATTTATGTATGTATGATTTCAGAGAGAAAGGGAGAGGGAAAGAGAGACAGAAACATCAATTATGAGAGAGAATTATTGATCGGCTGCCTCCTTCATGCCCCACTGAGGATCAAGCCCACAATCTGGGCATGTGCCCTGACTGGGAATCAAACTATGACCTCTTGGTTGATAGGCCCACGCTCAACCACTGAGCCACCCTGGCCGGCCGGCTCACGGGAGGGTTTGGAGTAGCCCCGCTCCCATGCTCTGTGGCAGTGAACCCCTCCATCCCAGGCTGTGCTGATGGGCTCCCCTCCAGACCTGCCTCACCTTTGGGCATTCCTTGAAAGGTTCGCTGTAGAGGCTGCGTATTCTTCTGCGCTCAATGAACTTATTGTCAGCTGGTGTTGGCTTGTTGGCTTCCCCTTTGAACTGGGCACTGTAGCTGGTCTCGTGAGCCATCTTATCATCGGGGGGCTTGTACTGGAGCTTCGCTTTTATTGGTTTCACAGGCTTGATGTCCGTCCATGCTCTGAATTCATTCCTGGGAATCAAAGAAAGCACATGTGCTATGAAACATCATCTGCCTGGAAGCAGCGCCCTCACGGGGCTGCAGACTCAGCCAACTCACAATGCGTCCTTGTGGTACTGACTGGACGGTGGCTGAAGCGGTCACTCCACTCTGTCCTCACGGGTAAGTGACAGGTTTCCTCCGCCAAGTTCATGCGGTTTTGGCAATAGTGCCTGGGGGAAGGGCTCAGGCTCCCAGCTCCCACTGAGTGATCAGGCACGGGCAATTCTAATCTCTGGGACTTATTTTCCCAATATTCAAAATGAAGCTGCAAAAACTCAGGCCATTCAGTCATTCATGGATTCAACATACACAGGTGGGGCAAAAGTGGGTTTACCGTTGTTCGTATGGAAAATAATACCATAATTAATAAATACACAAATAAGCTCTGTTTCGTGTACTCACAACTATACACCTACTTTTGCCCCCCCCCCTTTATAATTGAACATCTGCTGTGTGTGAAGTATAAGAATTATAAAAGTTAAATTCGATAATAGATTAGCATTGTGTTAAACCACGTGCCTGGTGATTTCGGTCAATTGACACACGTCAGTTCCCTCCCCCACTTTGTCATGATGAAGACCCTTTGCTATGCAGAATCCTTAAGGATAATTCCTCCCTTTGATAGCAGGGGGCTTGCCTCTTATAGTGCTAGAACTTAAAAAGTCTGAATCACTTTCGATGACAATCCTTATGAAATGTGTAAATGCTCACAGATCTTAAATAGCACGTGATGTGGATATCACAACTGGGACGTGTGTTGGGATATGTACGTGTAGAGAGTCTTCATGTGCTTGGCTGTGAATGGCTATTGGTCCTCGCCCTAAATTACCCCATCTGCTGTTTTTTCGGAGTCAGTGTGTCAGTTATTTTGTTCACAGGAGTCTCTCTTGTGGTTTCTAATGAGCTGACTCTGATCCGTTACAGGACTGGAGAGGAGATGGTCAACACTTTTTAAAACACAGTAAAATAGGCCTGGCCAGTGTGGCCCAGCTGGTTGGAGCCACATCCCGTATACCAGAAGGTCTCAGGTTCGATTCCCGGTCAGGTCACATAGCTACCTGGTAGGTTGTGGGTCGGATCAGCGGTCAGGGTGGGCACATAGGGGAGGCAACTCTCACATATCTATC